GTGCCCCTAACGTCCGATGCTAATACAACACAATGCCTGGGTGTATTACTGAAAACGTTTCCCCCCGAAAATTCAAAAATTAAATGAATTTCAAACCAACCAAGTGGCTGGTAATCCATTCCCACAAGAGGAAGTGTGTCAAACCTTCAGGTCCTTCAAAGTCTTGGAAGCTTGAGAGAGGCTACTTGGTGGTACCTCTTACATATCCCACCATGTTTTTCTTAAATCTTTACAGAACTTAGAAAGAAGTACACAACTTGAGGTGGTTTCCAATATGGATACCACCTACAGTCAAATAAACAGTTTGTTTAATCAGCTAAACAACATTTAATAAACTTAAAAGGTATCACAGATCAATCACGCAAAACATATTCTTTTAGCAAGCATTGATCATTGTTGCTAGAAGTACTTACCCAAAGGAGAAAATGCCACTTTTAATCTATTAAAAACTCAACTGATTTATCGACTTCCTTTGATCAGATAAGCGCCCTAGATTCCAGTGGTTCAATTCCAGAGAAACAGGTGCAGAAACAGATATTTCTAGAAGCAATGCTCTGTCTCCTAAACTCAAGCCAAGCCTGTGAGACACTGCACATGCTCAGGGACACTCTTAGTAAGAAAGCTTTTAAGGGTTCACGGTGCTTCAAATGCATATTCTCAATAACTATCTCAATATTACGATTTTTTATGAACAGCGCTTATGAAGTCTTATTATCACTGTATTGCAAACGTGGAGATGGACAGAAAAACAGCAACTTACCCAATGGGGTGGCTGAGAGATAGGAGCTTAGCTTAGGCCATACAACAAGTTTGTGGGTAAGCTACCATTTGAACCAAAAACTTCCTGCTCATAACTCACTCTTTGCTATCAGGGGTACAGTAGCTCTCATCATTGTTATTTAATTTATTTTTACATTTACAACCACCCATTTCCTCTGAAGACCTCGAGGTGGCATACATAATTCTCCTCATTTTATGTTCACCTTTCATAGTGGACTTGGGATTTGAACCTTGGTCTCCCAAGTCCTACTCCAACACTCTAACCACTACACTACACCACCACACTTATTACTTCTCACACTCATACATACACACTCTTTCCAAAGAGGAGTAGTACTAGGGTCAAAGCATAGTGAAGCCTGGCAATTTTCTTACATCCACCCATGCACACAAAAGCAGACCCCCAAAAAGGTGTAGTTGGGCTCATGCCTCAACTGTTAACATCAACACCTTACATTTAAAACAACCTTATATCCTCTTTGACACTAAAGGAAAGTTGGGGACTGTATATCCTTAAACTATAGTTCCCAGGATACTTTCCCGGGACTCTGATTTATATAGCAACCCTGAACATGTTCAGAACATATACCTTCACCGACTTCCAAATTGCTTCCCAGCCAGATTCAAAATGCTGATTTTGACATAGAAAACGTTAAGATGGCTTGGGACATGAAGAACATGCACCTGTACCCATGCCCCAAGGTCCTCTACAAAGACCTTTCTCCAAGCGCCCTCTCAAAGAGGGGCTCCAAAGCGGCTGGACCATTGTGTCTGGCGGCGACAGAGAAACATGGAGACCAGAGTAGAGACACATTGCATCTGAACAACTGCTTACCATACAATATGTGAATAAACCTTGCAATACCTCTGCAACAAAACAGTCAGAGCCTGTACTTTTTGCATTTACTATTATTAATTAGTTAAATCTGTATGCCACTCTATACCCACAATTCTAAGGGCAGTTACAACATAAAATCACAATATAGAATCACAAAATACATAATAAAATTAAAAGCAACCCAATAAACAACCTACAGTGGTACCTCAGGTTAAGTACTTAATTCGTTCCGGAGGTCCGTTTTTAACCTGAAACTGTTCTTAACCTGAAGCACCACTTTAGCTAATGGGGCCTCCCGCTGCTGCTGCGCCGCCAGGGCACGATTTCTGTCCTCATCCTGAAGCAAAGTTCTTAACCCGAGGTAATATTTCTGGGTTAGCGGAGTCTGTAACCTGAAGCGTCTGTAACCTGAAGTGTATGTAACCCAAGGTATCACTGTACTTCCCACTTCCTTTTAAAAGGGCATTGGATGTCAATCAGCCAAAGGCCTTCTTAACGAGAAATGTTTACACCTGGCACCTAAAGGTCTGTAACGAAAGCGCCAGCAGAACCTCCCTGGGAAGAAAACTCCTTAAACGAGAGCCACTGCAGAAAAGGCCTGTTCTTGTGTTGCCTCCCTCCAGACCTCTCCTGGAGGAGGCACACGACGAAGGGCCTCAGAAGATGATCTCAGGGTCTGGGTAGGTTCATTTGGAAAGCATTTCGTTTCCCTCTAAAACCCCATGCTTAAAATGTCACTCCCTAAAAAGAAAAATGCCCCACCCCAATCACTGGTGCACATGTCTGGTAACCTACCCTGACGATTCATGCAGCTGATGGAAGTAGACTAGTTCCACCAAGACTCAGGCCAGGATGAGGAACCTACCAGGGCCACATTCCCTTCCAGGCTTCCTTTCAGTAGCCCAGAAGCAAAAATGGAAAGGGCAACAAAAGTTCTACCTTCTTTGTACAGTAGGCTAGTTTCTCTACACCCAAATCTAGCTTCCATTCAGGCCAATATGAGGCAGGAGTTGAAGGACACCATTTTCTAGCCACACAAAAATACCTTGGTTTCCGACCTCTGGCTCAGGCCATAACAACCCTTAAAAAGGTAAAGGTACCCCTGCCCGTATGGGCCAGTCTTGCCAGACTCTAGGGTTGTGCGCTCATCTCACTCTATAGGCCGGGAGCCAGTGCTGTCCGCAGACACTTCCGGGTCACGTGGCCAGCGTGACATCGCTGCTCTGGCAGGCCAGCGCAGCACACGGAACACCGTTTACCTTCCCGCTAGTAAGCGGTCCCTATTTATCTACTTGCACCCGAAGGTGCTTTCGAACTGCTAGGTTGGCAGGCGCTGGGACCGAACGACAGGAGCGCACCCCGCCGCAGGGATTCGAACCGCCGACCTTTCGATCGGCAAGTCCTAGGTGCTGAGGCTTTAACCCACAGCGCCACCTGCGTCCCATAACAACCCTTAAGGAATTCCTAACCTTTAAGGTTAGTCTTGAAGGTGCCACAAGAGAGTGGGTTGGTCTTGGTCTTCTAAAAGTGGAGATCTAGCTCCACGCTCCAATCCTAAACACACTAAGCAGTTAAGTCCTATTGATCACAGTGGGACTAACTTCTGAGCAGGGATGCAGGTTTGCTGTTGACCACAATGCTCCACCAGCTTTTTAGTAAACACTGCAGATTATATCACATTGAAAACTACTAGACAGCTGGCAAGAGATTCCAAACCAATTAGGCACATGGTTTTCCCCACATTAATATACTTTAATCTCATAGCCAAGAACCACATTCACACTATGCATCTGGAAACCTACAAACTGACTCTGGAGTATTTTAAACCAGGGCTGACATATGATTAAAGACACCTTAGACGATTAATTAATTAAAAAAACTGCTTATGAATTGAAACAAAAGAAAAACAGGCATATTTTGCTTTTAAGCTTAATGCTCATAGGCACAATTCAGGGATGAATATGCAAGAAAAGGACAAGTGGCTTTTCTAACATGGAGCCCAGTTGCCTACAATTTCATACATATTTGTTTTAAAAATAATTAAACATTCTGTTTAAAATAAAACTGCTACCAGGTTAACCCAGACAACTTTTGTGGGTGGTCAAAGGGTATTTTTTTTAAACAGACTAATCAATGAAAAGTTGCAGATCTCATTTTAACCTCTTGGGTGAAGCATGTGAATCCTGCATTAACCCAAATTACACAAGCAGATATGGATTCTGTTCATGCAACGCTCTCGGAGTCAAGACTCTGGAAACAAGGAAAATATATATGGTCTCAGTACCGGCCTTGCATATTCCCCTTCTCCGGTTGCTATATTTTTATATGAAACACAACCGCAACACACAACCGTATTCATTTATGGGCTTTTTCAGGCACTGACTCATCTCTGTTTTTAAAAAAAAATTGCATCCATCTTACTTTAAGTGCCTCTTTCCTTTTGATGAATGCTAAGCGAACGCTACGGGGAAAGAAAGCATGGGTGTGCGGGCTTAGGGAGTGGCCAAGATGCAAATCTCTCGCTTTCCAATTTCCCACCGACTGGGAGCAGGTAGGTAAGGCAGCGTGTGCGATCCGCCGTTGCCAGATCCTCGCATATGGTTCTCTTGCCACACCGCGGGCAGCTCCCTGTACACGCACTCGATTTAAAAGATCACGCTGCCCTCTTCCCGCCCCACCCCCCGCAGTGCGAGGACTCGCCTCGATCCGATTTAAAATAACACGGCCTTGCACCTTACTTAAGGAAGCACGCAGCCAGGGGGACATTTATTTATAATAAAATAATAATCATAATAATAGCCAGGCTTAATGATCTCCTTTTTCTCTCTCTCCTTCTGCTGGGATATCTTGCAGGAAGGAGCAGGAGACAGGGAGGGCCTCGCCCACTCAGTCATACATACCGAAAGTGAGTGAACTTACAAACTTAAAAAAAGAAGAAAAAGTTGAGTTTGCAAGCTCCGTGCAAGAATGGAAGTTGTTAAGCGTTTTGCCTACCTGGTGCAAGTCTGCAACAAGTGCATGCAGGGTCCGTGTGGGCGCAGTTTTTAATACATATAATGGATCTATATTGTGCAGCGACGGGGCAATTGCAATTTTAATTTATTACTGAGCTGCTATTTACTCGGGTCCTACTTTGCTTACAGTACAAGCTCTTGCTGTAAACAAATATCGCTCCGCCAGGAAATATATACTTGCATATCTACACGCAACCCCGCCGCCTCCGCCCCCTCTTCTCCCCCCCACCCACCCCCCCTGTGCAATGCACCCTCCTCCCCTCCGCGACTGTACAGGGGGGAGACGGGGAGAGAGAGGTGGAAATAACTAATCTTCGCTCTTTCCCAAGCCCACGCCAGAAGGAGAAGCTCAAGGGAGCTGGACTTACCTTGTGCATGAAATTCCTTGCATGCCACTTTAGGGTGGGGGCTCTGCCCCCCCTCTCTCTTAATCTCTGGTGCAAAATCCCCGTGTCAGCAAAACGCTGTCAAATTATTTTCGTGCAAAAGAAGGGGGGGGGAGAGAAAGCAGAAGCAAAAAGGGGAGGAGGCTAGGAGAGAAAATCGAATCACTCCGCCGAGATGGGTCTGGTCCTGAGTTTGCAAACCAGGAAGTAAGGTGTCAGTGGCGGCAGTTAGTAGCAGAGCGCCGAGCCCTTCGCCGGGGTCTCCTGTCTTAAGGAGTGACCTGCGGGCTGGGAGCAAACTCCGGCAATTTAGCGGCGTGTCTTCCTGGGGTTTTCAGTAGGAAGGGTGTTTTCTCTTTCTCTCTCTCTTTTGCACTGCCCCACTCGTTTCCCTTTTCTAAGGGCTGCAGTTCCCATGCAGCAGGTACGGAGGACAAACCCACCTCCCCATGCGCTGCTGCCTGTCCGAGCTGTCGGCGGCGCCCCGGACCAGCTTCCCGGGTGGCGAGCAGCAATTGCACTCGGGGGCCAGGAGATCCCCGGTGACGCTCCAGGCTCGGGGTGTGCAAACATACACACACACCCTGCGTGCATGGCGCGCCGTTTCCTCGTTCCCTGCTTCGTAACTCGGATCTTTCTTGAATCCGAGCAGAGTTGGGCGGAGGGCGGGTTCCATTTCTGCAAAGGAGCCGAGGAGGAGGGTGCGTTTGAAACACATCCTGGAGGAGGCACGCGGCCCGATCCGACGCGTGTTTCCTCGGAAATGAAGCCTGCAGTATTTATCGGGGCTTTTAAGACTGTGGCCTCCCCCCCGCAAAACAAACACACCCGAAGCCCTATATATGGATGTCTGGAGACTAATCCTGGCAGCAAGCCCCATTCACACGGGGACTCGCGAGGAAACGTCCACAGGATCGCGCTGCAAGAAAGCGCCCTGGGGAGTTTGGTTTTGTGCCCGCCCCCTCCCTTGTCGGGGAGACGCAGGAAGACAGTGCCGCTTCGCAGCAGGGTGTGGGCTCCTCGTACTGTACGCTTCCCCTCCGCCCTCCCACCCCTAACGCCATGACTGCAAAACGTGGGGAGGTGGGTGGGGGGACTCCTCCTGGGAGCGCCCCCCACTGGCTTGTGATTGGCGCAGCGCTCCGACGTGAGCCCGCGGGCGGTGCACTCTCCCCGCCTCTCTTCCCCAGCACTTCTCAGAAAAGAAACTTGCAGTATTCGTCGCAGTCAGATGGCTCTCCATTTTCATATTTTTTTTTTGGCAAGCAGTCGCGGGTTAAAAAGAGCGCTTGTGTGCGCAAGACGTTTATTACTGCCTAAGGTTGCCAGCGTCTTCTTTCCCCCTGTTTAAGGCTCCTGTGCCTTTTGCAGTAGAGTGGCAAGCAGCGTGTGTTTTTTTTAAGTGGGGGAGGGGAGCTTTGCCTATACGTATTGACATCAGCATGCTGGGGAAGGCTTAGTTCTTGGTTGTCAAGCCTGCCGTTAACGGCACAGGAGCCAAGCTGCGAGGGGAAGTTGGCAACCTTCCGGTGTGTTTGCATGACTTAGCCGCCGTTGGATGTGCTTCTGGCTAGTAACTTAGATCTGAGTTCCATGCATGCGTGTTCATTACTTCATGATCTTCCTGTTTGAATGAACCTTTGCAGGTATAAGCTCAGCTCGGATAGCATCAAATGCAGTACGTTACAGGGGACTTGATTTGCTACATCCAGCACATTCATAAAACGTCCACTATTAAACTGTAAACGTGGCACTAGTAGTATATTTGTGATGAAAGATCCAAGAGTTTGAATCCTTTCCCTGCTAGCATGCCTGAAGGTGTCAGATCCGGAATGAGTTGTGTGACCAGTTTTGATGCAAGGAAGGAGTAGTTGGGTGGAGTGAGCTAAGCAAATGCAATGTCACTGTTTGGTGGCAGGAGTGGGATCCACCAATAAACATTGCAGGGTGAGGGGTCCTCTCCTCCTAAATAGGCGCACTCATAGCTGTCAACTGTCCCTTATTTGGCGGGAAACCTCTTTATCCCAGCGCGATGTCCCACTGCTGTCCCTTATTGATGATGTCCCTTAAATTTCCCGGGTTTCAAAGGAAGCAGCTCTTCTCCCTCCCTCCCTGCCGGCCAGGGAGGAGGGAGGCTCCAACTGTGTTGCTTGGCTGCGTTGCTCACCCAATAAGGAGTCTAAGAACGACGGGGGTGGAGCTTGCATGCCTTGTGCGGATCAAATCGGCCGCATTGCCTGGGGACTCGCCTTTGCTCAGCGCTTCCCAGCGGAGAGGTGACAGTGGTTTTCCTTGCTGCATCCCCTTTGCCGGGTTGCTGCGCTGTGGGAACCACCGCTTGAGGCTTCGTTTGGCTGCTGGCTGGGCTTTCTGCCTTTGGCTCAGAAGTTGAACATACCAATGCCCGGAAAATCCCTTATTTTGGCTGCTGATCCCTTATTTTCGAGGCTGCTCGTCCCTTATTTTCAAATCTGTAAGTTGACAGCTATGGGTGCACTCATGTTCACCCAGCCATTTCCTCCAAGCGGAGTAAGGCCATTCCCACCCCCCACCCAACTGATGCTCAGCTTTCCAGGGCTACTTAGCTTGGACAATCTGGTGGAGGGATTGTCTCATTAGGCTTCCTTTCTTTTTCATTGTACATACTTCTGAAAACTTCTGTGCTTTCCTCTTGTGGGCTCATTTTGGCTCCCCTTCAGTCAGCAACCCAGTGAAAGGGAGGGTTGTTTTGTATCCCAAACCTTGCTCTGGATAATCATCTCAAGAATCACTGTTATTATTGATCTAAAACATTTTTAACTTCGCTCTTGAGCCAAAAAAGCTCCTGGAGTGTTTACACAAAAGAAAAGAGATATGGAATCAAGTCTTACTGAGTTAATTAGGGCTTTCTTGCAGGTAAGTAGGTAGAAGATTGCAACCTTGGTCTCATAGCAGCCCTGTGAAATAGGTCAGTCTGACATGCTCAAAACCACAACATGATCTCATTTGAAGGCTATTTCACTCATACAAAAACTAAGCAGGGTTTTGTCAGCAAGCAGACTCTGGTAGGAGTACCCGTGTGATCTACACCTTTGCCGCATTCACACTACAGGGGGCCCAAGTCGGAATTCGAACCCGGCTTCCTTGTATCCAAAGTCAACATGGAAGCTAATACAGTGGTACCTTGGGTTACAGATGCTTCAGGTTACAGATGCTTTAGGTTACAGACTCCACTAACCCAGAAATAGTACCTCGGGTTAAGAACTTTGCTTCAGGTTGAGAACAGAAATCATGCTCCAGCGGCGCGGCAGCAGCAGGAGGCCCCAGTAGCTAAAGCCGTGCTTCAGGTTAAGAACAGTTTCAGGATAAGAACTGACCTCCAGAACGAATTAAGTTCTTAACCCGAGGTACCACTGTATAGCCCTATTCTGATGTTATCCATCCAGCCTGGTCCCACCCTTAGCATCCCTGCTTGCTCAGTCCCAGACCTTCCCAGGGGGCTTCTACCTATGTTTGCTTGAACACAAGTACAGTGGTACCTCGGGTTAAGTACTTAATTCGTTCCGGAGGTCCATTCTTAACCTGAAACTGTTCTTAACCTGAAGGACCACTTTAGCTAATGGGGCCTCCTGCTGCTGCAATGCCGCCGGAGCACATTTTCTGTTCTTAACCTGAGGTACTATTTCTGGGTTAGTGGAGTCGTAACCTGAAGCGTATGTAACCTGAAGCGTATGTAACCTGAGGTACCACTGTAGAAGCTTCCATGCAGTTGGGAGACCCGCTTCATAAGGCTCCCTGCCTAGCACTGCAACATCTGCAACAGAGTGGGCCAGCATGCAGCTGCTGGGGCGTGGGGCTTGAAACATGTGAGGGGAAATCTTGTTTGGGTTTACACTGAGGGCTGTGACCTTCATTCCCTACTATCAGGTTCCCAGAAGCAGCTGGCTGGTTACTATTGGAAACAGGAAAGTGGATTAAGTAGATCTCGAACTGAAAAGCTAGTATCTCTTGATCAAGTTCTCAGTTTTGTTGAATTAATGAACCTAAGTAGTTTGGGTTGGATGTTGAATGAATGTGCAATTAATTGTTAATGTTTTTAATTTTATTGTGCATTATCTTCTTTAGTGGGCTGTGCAAACCGCTATTCTGGGGCTGGGAAAACCCAGCCAGATGGGCAGGGTATAAATAATAAATTACAGTCGTACCTTGGAAGTCGAATGCCTTGCGAGTTGAATGTTTTGGCTCCCAAACGCCGCAAGCCTGGAAGTGAGTGTTCTGGTTTGCGGACGTTCTTTGGAACCCAAACGTCTGACGCAGGTTCCATGGCTTTCATTTGGCTGCAGGAGCTTCCTGCAGCCAATCGGAAACCGCACGTTTGCAAACGTTTTGGAAGTTTGACTTCCGAGGTATAACTCTATTATTATTATTATTATTATTATTATTATTATTATTATTCTGAACAATGCTTTTTATAGAGTAAGGGGCATGGAACCAAGGGGGTGGTGACATGAAAAACACTGGGAACTACTGGAGTAGACACTCAATGTAGGATTTCAATGAAGCTTCAGTTAAACTTCTCTCAGTTGTGTTGCTGTTGCTGTTGTTAATCAAATATGTATACAGTGGTACCTCGGGTTACATAAGCTTCAAGTTACATACGCTTCAGGTTACAGACTCCGCTAACCCAGAAATAGTACCTCAGGTTAAGAACTTTGCTTCAGGATGAGAACAGAAATCGTGCTCCGGCGGCGCAGCAGCAGCAGGAGGCCCCATTAGCTAAAGTGGTGCTTCAGGTTAAGAACAGTTTCAGGTTATGTACAGACCTCTGGAATGAATTAAGTACTTAACCCGAGGTACCACTGTACCACCCTTTATCTGAAGATCCCAGGGTGGTGCATGACAGGAAAAATACAAAATGAGAACATAAAATATGTAATAAAACAGAAACAAACCAATATCCCCCCCTCCCACAAACACATTTGGAACGTTTGTTGGCCGAATGTCTGGTTGAAGAGAAATATCACCTGGCGCCAGGCAAGCTTCCCTGAGGAGAGTATTCCACGAGCGCGAAGCCACCTCAGAAAAGACCTATTCTTGTGTTGCCACTCTCTGCACCTCTTGTGGAAGAAGCACACAGAGAAGGGCCTCAGGTGATGATTGAAGGATCTGGGTTGGTCCATATGGAAAGTAGCGTTCCTTGAGGTATTGCAGTCCTGAGCTGTTTAAGGCTTTATAGGTCAAAAGCAGCACTTTTTGGGGGGGAGGGGGACAGGACTTTGAATTGGGCCCGGAAATTAATCAGCAGCCAGTGCAGTCAGGCCAGATTTGGTGTTATATGCTCAACTGGTCTTAACCCCAGTGAGCAACCGGGCTGCCGAATTTTACACCAGCTGAAGTTTCCGAACTGTCTTCAGAGGTAGCTTTATGTTTGATGTGTTGCAGTAATCCAACCTAGAGATTGCTGCCCTATAATGAGAGATGTTCCAATGAATCATGTAGAGGAGCAAAGTTTGTTTAATCCTGACTAAAATCAATTTATTTGGGGGCATCGCCATCTAAAGAATAAGGTTGGGGAACAACATCATCTTCATTAGTAATTAGAAGTATTCCTAACCTGCTCTTTATTGAATATTTTCAACCCCAGAGCAGGGAAGAGTAAAGCAAAGTAATAAAGATAATGTCGAGGGCCACATTCCTTTCTAGGCAACCACCTGAGGGCCACCTGGCAAGGGTGGGGAGAGCATTAAATGTGAATTTTACCTTTTTGTGCAGTAGGTTTGTTTCTTCACTCTTTTCCATCCATCCAGGCTGGTTGGTTGTTGGCTTCCATCTGTCTCGGGAGACAACAGAGGAGTGCGCTCAGACAAGCAGGAAGTATTATCAGAGTTCAAGGACGCATTACTACTTGGAAAGATACCAAGTGGGGGCTAGAAAGGGGTGTAGCGAGGGAGGAGGCAGATAGAGAGGCCTCGAGGGCCCCCACCCGACCGCTTTAAGAAAGATGTTCACAGGTTAAGTTAAATTAAGATAAAATGAATGCTGAAAAT